AGATTTACCAGTTGGCGATTCAAACAGCCCAGTGGCTAGCAGCAAGGAGTCAGCACCAGGACGCAAGCTGCACACAGACAGGTAAAGAGGTTCTGGCGATGGTGGGCCCTCTGCAGCGGCAGGGGTGTCCCCGCTAGCAGTCACGGAGGACCATCCGGCTTACATTCTGCTGGGCACAATGGTGGAGGTTGACGGGAACCATACGCGATGGAAGTGACAAGAGCTGCCCTGGAGAGTTTGCGAACCTGTAGGAATGAGCAAGTATTTCAACCGGTCGTATACTATGGAAACACTGAGAAATAGAGCCCTGGAGAGTTTGCGGACCGCTATTTTGGTGGACCCACAGAGGTCCAGGAGAAACTCGGGGGGAGAAGAATCGAAGTTTTGGAAGATTTGGCAACGCTACCCGCAGCTGGCCCATAGGAATGTTGAGACGGGACGTTTCGAGTTCGGGCCGCTGCTGCAGCAATATGTGGAACTGGAGGTAATAGGTTGAGGATAGATGCAGAATGTAGTATAAGGGGAGGATATCTAGAACGTAAATCGAAAGGGGGGGATGCCGCGCAAGTAGCAGGGTAGGACACTCATAGATAGATGTACAATGGGGTAATGGTAGGAGAGAGAAGGGCATGGGATCAGCAGTAGCGAGTAACACTAAAGTGAGATGGGATCAGCAGTAGATAGATGTCACAGTAAGGACATGTCTTCAGATTCCAGACCAGGATTTCCGAGGCCTCACTTTCAAAGAATTATGGTCAGAATCGTCAGATGCGTGCACTTCAGACAGGTTCAAGGTGATAGACACAGTAGGAATAGAGGAGGAGCAAGGGGTTTGAGAGAAAAGGAAGTCAACATGGGAGGGGGGGGACAGAAAGATACAAGGGGAAGGACTTGACAGAAAGAGTGCTAAAGGGATAGCGGAGAAGGGTCTGGTGGGAGCCTGAGAAGAAGAACGTGAGTGAGTAGTACGAAGTTGCAGGCAGCCAGCAGACTGCAGGCGCGGGATGGGAGTCTGCCCCCCCGGGACACGGCGAGCATCGTGGTGTGCGTCTGGGTACTGATTTGAAGTTCCCCGGTCACTATGAGCCCGCGGTCTGGGAAGGGGGAGTGCAGCCCCACCCCACCCTTGCAGCCCCCCTGGTAGGTGGTTTGGGCTGCCGCGGAAGGCTACAGCTTTAACTCTCAGCTTTTTTCTCTGAAACTCATGCTGGACTGCTGTCCCCCAGAATGGGAGGACCTTGTGATTGTTCTTATATATATTGTCACATCACTACAAACTAAAACAGCGCACTTTGCGGAACAAAGAATAAAAACAAAAAACGGGCACAGTGATAACATGCAAAAATAAAAACAAAAAGAAAAAACAAGGGCAGATTGAAACCATTAAATTTCTCATTCTTCTTTGAACTCCACCTCCACTGTGCCTCTCACGTGCAAGGCTCGCCACGTTGA